ACACGCATAAATCATGAACACTGCGCAGGTAAGTGTTTGCTGGAGCAATATGCGTTAAAACGAGGCATCCACGTAAATATTTACTTTCTTTACACTGCGACACAGTGCGATACCGGCAACCGACGATACTTACCGGAAAGTAACAACTTTATGGAAATAGTACATATTTTATCGTACTCAGTGATGTAAGTCTCAATTTTAGAGGAATCTGGCACTATCCGGACACTACTGGTAAGAAAAAACATTCAAGACATAAGAAGCAAATCGACAAAATTTAAGCTGTCGCTTAACGAAAATTAATAGTTTCGGCAGGATTTCGGACAGGGAATTTGTAGAAAAGCAAATTGTCGGTCAGAAAAGTGTCTTAAAATCAGAGACAACACACCAGGACTACTGCTAACGTCCGTACCTTCATTACTTTCTTGGCCTTCACTTCGCTATCGATCAGATTGGCCACGCAGTGGGCACTGGGCAGCACGCTCCACATCCAACGCCCGCCATTCGCAGCGCACATCCTTTTCCAGCAGACGGAAGTTCCAGCTGGCAAATATCGAAGGCATGACGCTTAGCGAGCGCCGGTCCATGATGAAGCGGTCGAGGCGGATGCCGGCATCGTCCAGGACGTCGTGGATGACGCCCACCGTGTCCTCGATACACAGGTGCTACTCGGAGCGCAGGCAGAAGATGCGGGTGGCCGGCGTGAGGTGCTTAAAGAGGCACGCGTACATGGCGTACAATGTAGGACGAAATGGTCGCATAGCCCCATACCCAGCATTCTGTACGCAAGCGGTGCAGTGCACTTGTACGAAACGGATATTTTGAACTCAGTCGTACAGTGCACTGCGCTGAATACGTACTGAATGTGGAGATGTTGGGTATGCGTCGATGCGACCATTTCGTCCTAAGCTGTACATACCTTCCGGCATGTACAGCTACATCAGACTTACATGTACATGTACACGGCGTGGGCGACGCAGTGCCGCCCGGCGGCTGCGACACCATCACCGTGCGGCGCAGCTCCGCCGTCGTGAGGAGGGCGTCCCACAGAGGACAGACGCGACGACAGCGCTGCCGGTCGACGGTGTCCAGTGTGTGGAAGATCTCCTTTAACACTTCCACCGGCAACGCCCAACGGCACGTTGAGTCGAAGCGCAAGGGTTTAATTTCTTGCGTTTCGGCTCATCATCCGAGTCTTCGTCTTGTGCCGATAACTGAAATTCCGACAAAGGTCCGTCGTCATGCTGCTCCGCTTCGAACGCGGTGGCCTAGGGTCAAAATTAATTAGAGTACTTACTAAGTAGCACAGTGACTTATCGAGATGCACCGTTAGATATCGCTGTCCATGCCATGGTTCACAAGTATTGTACTTGGCACGCCTGACTTTTCCTCACTTTACGATTACAAGCTTGTGTTAAGACTATCTTCAAAGTTTAAACATGCAGATGCTCTTTTTGTTGACAGTTGTGTATTAGGGAAAATGGGTATCATGGGCGATTCGCTAACCCGGATCCATTACCAGATCCGGGTTGTGCAACGTTGGATCCGTGTCCATTGTTACTCACCGGGCGATTCGCTAACCCGTAGGGGCGATTCGCGAACCTTTTAATTTTACCACAAATTAGTTGTGGTATATGCAAAAAATAAAAGTACAATTTTTTTAAACGCAACAGCCGCTGATTGAAAAATGGATGGGCTCGTCATTACTACAACAAAACGTAATCAGCCGGCAGTAATTTATCGAGGGTACTCCTCGATAAATTTATCGGTCAATCCTCGTAGACAAATGTATCTGGACATCACAACTAATATCTTCCTAGCTACTTTCCAACTAAAAGACGGAAACATCACGGAGATGGAGTTTGTTTCCCAATTGACCCACACGTTAGCTAAGTTTGAATAGTTTAGGATCGGATGGAGTCATAACTTTGGCTGCACTAACTATGTCATAAAGAACCCTAGTCATAAGTAATTAAATTGTTGATGATTGTTGATAAATGCATGTTCATCGCATAGCGACATCAAATGTTTTGGTTGATTACAGTAATAAGTGAAAGTGAGTTGAAACACACATATAAAATAATGCTGTACGGGAAAGGTTCGCGAATCGCCCATGTTCCACCGGTTTGCGAATCGACCGGTTACTTGCGCAAAGTGAATAGCGAAAAATACAATGCGCCATTATCATTTTAAAGCCATTGCGCACTATTGTTCACGAATCGCCCTCTGAACCGGGAAAATGAACCCAACAACGACTTACTAAATCGTTGTCCCCCAAAGGGGGCACCTCCTGCCACCGCCGCACATACTGCATCGTCTGACTGAGAACCCTGACAATCTTCAGACGGAATTTGCGCTCAATCCGACTTTTGCGAAACTCCAACTCAGACGGCTCCAGACGCCAGTAGCCGCCCGACACGCTGCACGTCTGCAGGACGAAATGGCCCGCGGCAAGCAGTCCGGGTCTCCCTGCTTCTCCACAAGCGTCGCGAATCTGCTTGGTGGGAAGCAGTTCGCGCCGCCGCTGCCCGTCTACCAGCACCTCCACCAGCGCCACCTTGTCTATGTCACTGAACGCGGGAATCAGAATGTTCCCCGCGTGCCATTTCCAGTGCGGGCCGTCGTGCAGCAGCACCTCCACGACGTCTCCCTTCCCGGGGTCGCTGGATCGATGGGCGGAGCAGTCCCAGATTTTCCCATAGGGAACCGCCACCGACGGCCGCCCGGGGCACACGAAATCGATCAGCAGACCCGGTGGAGCGCTGTCGTTCTCGTCCAGACCGACGACGTAGCCGTGCTGCAGCCGCCCGTCAATCTCCGCATCCACCGCGTTCCAGGCGTACACAGGGAATTCGGTGTTTTCTAACAGGTGCATTCTTATCTGTCTCGCTGGCGACTGTAATGCAAAAAAATGGGCCTTGTGTACGTAATAAGGTGAATGGCTCAGCCAAATCAACACCTAAAAACTGCTAATTTCTATGACTAGCAAGTTATGGGAAATCCATAGATGATAGACCATATTTTTAGTAGACCAGAGAGGGGTGTAAACTGTAAACTGAAAAGTAAAAATCTGCAACGAGTCTGACGGCTGTGGTGAACCCAGGGGGAGGCGGTCATGTAATACGACTGAGCGAACGGTGCTGCATCTCTGGGGGAGGTGTCGGAAAAACCAGACAAATGTTTTTCGCGCAAAGGTCTTCTTACTTGCGCAGTCTCCTTTAAAAAAGTTTTCATTTGCGTGAATGTATAGTGCAAAGTGCAAACTGCAGAATGACTGCAAATCTAATATTACGGACCCTTCCAAACTTTGTGCGGAATAAAAAAGACAGCTGTACTTGGTCTACTGCTCCCCGCCCCCTCCTGCTGTCATTACTGTTTCGCTGCTGTTGACACTACAATACAGAGACCTTTCCAGTTGCACAGCTTTTAAACCCCTGTATTACGTCTTTTGCCACGGTGATGAGTGTAAGCCGGTTACTAAATTGGGGAAAATTCAGTTTTCTACATTGGTTACCTCGGGTGTGGAGAAAACTGAATCTGGGAGATTTGAGAAGTATTTTCTAAACTTATCCAAAACGCAACTGCCAAATAACCTCTCACCGCATTGTCGAGGTGACTTTGCACTGCTGATGTTTCCCAAGACGGTTTCTCTGTGGTGCCACAACACTTCCAGTCCGAGCATTCCAATACTTACGCTATTACTTTACATATCCCTGACGGTGTCATCCTAACATAAAAATCAAAAACCTTTAATAAGTATCATGGTACGAGTACAAACAGCTACATTTGGTTATCAATAGTTTCACACCGTTTGAACTATAGTAACAATAACAAAAGTCCAAGGACTCATTCCCGTTCAGCTAATTTAAATGCAAAATACACATCTTCTTTCTCAACCATGTCGCTAAATGTACCGAGGACAGAAACTGCGTTTCCTCGCTGAATCTCGATACCAATTCTCTGGCGCAGAAACTCGCCTGAGCGTGGGTTGCCCGTACAGTCGCAAATCTTTCTAGATAGGTCTTTGAAGAATTTTTTCGTCAGCGGTCCAAAAGTTCCGGTTGTTTCGAACGCCAGCGGTTGGATGGTGTAGCGGTCTGCCAGCCCAGACCGCTACACCATCCACAAACAAACTATGCACCAGAACAAAACGGCATTTACAAAAGAAACACTTCCTCTATGCTATCCTGATCGGGGATCGTACCCATTACACAAATCGCGTTTCCCCGTTGTATTTGCATAGATATTCGCTGTTTAAAAAACTCTTTCGCCCGCTTTTGGCCAGTTGAAGTTGCTATACCGTTTCCAACCGTTTCCACTAGCTTTTTAGTACCGTCTCCATTAGTAATACCGCTATTACTTGTACACTGCAAAATATCTATAACCGTTATGACGTAGTACAGCATCTTACACTCTTTATAGCGCATCATTGTGACCTTTGCTCATGAAAGTACTAGTCATGCATATTCTGTAAGTAGTAACTAACGCAAGTATTCCATCCCCGCAACAAATGAGATTTTTCTGAATTCCTACACGTGGAACTGGCCTTGGGTACAAGGTCAGAGATATTCTTACTGACAACATTTCTTTCGTCGGTTAGACATAGCAGTTTTCCGTCTTGGATCCAAGTTGGAACCAAGACAGAAACTGCACTCGTACTGACCTTTAAGCTGTGGGACTTTCGAGGGTCACTACGAGTACAGATGTACCAGTTCTTACCTGCTAAAGTGGTATGCTTAAGAAAGTACTTTGATAATATGGAAAGGTCAAAACTGCAGAGAGCAAGTGTAAATTGGCGAACCGCTGACCCACTGCGACACGATACCTTGTGGGTTTACCTGCGCGAGGCTACTACAGAGTACTTGGCTCAATGAGCACACAATTAATGTCCTTATTAAATTATTTATTCAACAGCACGCTAATCAACAAACGAACACAGCCGTATCACAAGGACGGCGGCGAACTCAACACTTCGCACTGCACAACGAAATCCTTCTAACCGATAACCTGTGCCCTGTGCGGATCCGGAAAAATATCAAAACTGAAGAAAATATCTAGAATAAAACATGAGAAAAACACATAAATAGCGCTCAGCTAACCACGTGACTGTGATGCGAGCGGTACGTGTCACGCGCGCGAAGAGCTTGCCTACCGCATTAACATTCAGCTGATTAGCAGTCCTCAAAAACAAAAAGGGATGCCTTTTACCAGTAGTCAGACTCATCGGACTCGTTATCACTGGAATCGCTGGACAAGTCGTCGTCGTGCCGCCAGTCGTTCACGTAGCGGGATAAGGCGCACAAGCAGAAGTGGTTCAGCTGGCCGACGTCCACGCTGGCCATGTTGTACAGGGACCATCGGTGTTCCTGATAGTGCGCCGAGGGACGCGGATCGCTGGCTTGGTAGGCTTGCAGAATCTGCAGAATTGTTCAGCACGTTCTACGTCATATTATTATTCCAGAAAACAAATAAATTGTCAGGAAAACGCCTCTAACATTCGGTCACGCGAGGAACGTCTTCCCATACAAATATTTTCCTTTAGTCTGGTAAATTGAAAGAAGCATCATAAAGATGCTGCTTGTTAAAGCAGTATCACCTTCAATAAGTATCATAATGCCAGTACAAACTATGTATGAAACAAACGGCATTTATAACAGAAAAGCTTCCTCTATGCTTCTTAAATACTGTACTTCAGTATTAATAATACTATATCATCAGTTACTCCAGACGCACCTTTCTCACGGCTCTGGCCCTCTCTTTACTGACCATCCCACTGGCCATGCACTGGGCGATGCGCTGCACATCCACCGGCGGCCCCTCGTGGTGCAGATGCTTCTCGAACAGGTCCACGACGTCCGCCTCATCGACCTGTCCCCGGGTAAAGACGATCAGGGGAAGGCGGAACTCCATAACGGTTAGCTCGTCCTCCAGCACGGTCAGGGCGAAATCCTTGACAATCAGCCGCTGACAGTAGGGCAGCAGCTCGGTCCAACCCGCGGTCATCTCGGAGGACAGCGCGGGCAGCGTCACAGCGGATTCCTCGAGGCTACTGGATCGGCGGTGCACGATGAAGCGGTGGATGCGGATCCCGGCATCATTCAGCAGATTCTGCGCCACGTCGAACACTTCTTCGCGATACATTCCACTTTCGCGCAGGGAGATGGTGCGGGTAGCGGGTGTGATGGACTTGGCGATGCAAGCGTACAGGGCGTAGACATCCCGAACGCGGTCCTCTGGGAGCGCCACACGCACCTCGCTGCCCACGTCGTCCGCAGTGAGCAGCCTGGTCCACAGCTGGCAGGTGCGGCGACAGCGCACGCGGTCGACGGTGTCCAGCGACAGGAAGATTTCCTTCAGCACTTCCAACGGCAACGCCAGGTGCTTTTCACCCACGCTCACCGGTGTTTTCCGCTTGGGCTCAGCGTCAGCCGACGTCCCGGCGTTCTTCAGTGGCTCATTGTAAAAGTTTCTGTTTCTCTCGAACTCGATCGCCTATGACAACAGAATGAAATCATATCATTACCTAACTGTATTTCCATGAAATTGAAAAGCAGTTATTTTTGTCATCGTTACACGACAGTTCATAACCCGATCTTCACAACGCGCCGTTTCACCGAATACAATCTATACGTTTCACGACCATAATTCATGTCCGTAATTATGGTTGATTGTGAAACGGGTCTGAAGCGTTGTGCAGTCCTCCATCACAAGCCACGACTTACCACCATATTTTCACCGCCCCACGTCATGTCCCGTCGGCAACGCAGATAGAGCATCGTCTGACTAAGAACCTGGACAAAGCGCAGCTGGTGCATCCTCTCCACCTCTCGCAACAGCCACGCCGCTACCGATCGCTCCAGAATCCAGTACCCGTCGGGCACACTGCACGTCTGCAGGACGAAGTGGCCCGCTTCAATCTGTCCTGGCCTCCCTGCTTCTGCGCAAGCGCCGCGAACCTGCAGCCAGGGAAGCAGTTCACGACGTTGCTGTCCGTCCACCAACACCTCTACCAGCACCATCTCCTCCAGGTCGTCGAAGCGGGGCTTCAGCAGTTTCCCCGGGTACCATTTCCAGTGCGGGCCGTCGTGCAGCAGCGCCTCCACCGCAGTTCCCTTATTTAGGACAGTGAATCGCCGTGAGGAACATTCCCAGATCTTCCCATAGGGCACCAGCACCGCCGGCTGAGTCGGGCATCCGAAATCGACGAGCAGACGCGGTGGAGCGTTGTCGTTCTCGTCCAGGCCGATCACGTGGCCGTGCTGCAGTCCACCCTTCATCTCCACATCGACAGCATTCCAGGCGTACACCAATCGTCCCGTGTCTTCGTACAGATGCATTTCTGTCTGCCTGGTTTGTACTTTCGAGGCAGAAAATGAGACGCGTTTGAAAATAATCGAGTGGACGTAAGGCTGCCAAGCATGCCACTACAAATAAATTCGACAATGCTGCTTTTCTAGAAAACGAAAGAAATTATGGACAGTGGCTACGCTAGCTGATGAACGGTTTGTGCGCTTGCTCACCGTCAGCTGCATGCGTGAATTTTCATGTCTGGGCATGCAGCAGCAGTGCGTGCATAGCGTCAGCGCTCATGCGAAGTTGCGAACTGCAACAGCGCTTCAGCACGTACGTAGTAGTGCGTGCTGCAACAGCTGCAGCACGTACTCGGTACTACTAGTACGTGCTGCAGTACGTGCTTAGTACGGTGGACAATTGTACGAGTAGTACAAGTACTATCACTTATCAGTCGTGTCAGCGAAAGCTGCCCAGTATGTACAGTACAGTACTGTACTATTTTTTCTGTTTAAAAACCGTTTGGTAACTTGTAATATCGCCGTTTCTTACGTAATAAATCTTTGCCATCCAGCGTGCATTTCCCGCCTCTCTTGACCAGCCCAGTAAAGAATGCACCTGTACCAAAATACCGGACGATCGTTGTACGTATGGAACGCTGTGGATGTGGAGATTGACGGTCGGTTGCTGCACGGCCACGTGGTCGGCCTGGAAGAGACCGAGAGCGGTCCCCCGCGTCTGCTGGTCGATTTGGGATGCCCGACAGAACAGGCGGTGCCGGTGGCGTACGGGAAGATCTGGGAGTGCTCCAGGAATCCATCCGCTAGCGGATTCCCTAGCGAGGAGCTGCTGTGGAAGTGCTGCTGCGTGACGGCCCGCACTGGACCTGGTATCGCGGAAAGATGCTGGTTTCGCACTTTGACGACTTGGAGGAGATGGCGCTGGTGGAGGTGGTGGTGAACGGGTAGTCTCGTCGCGAACTGCTTCCCTGGCTGCAGGTTCGCGACGCCTGCGAAGAAGCAGCACGGTCCGGGCTTCTTGCAGCGGGCCATTTCGTCACCGAGACGTGCAACGTGCCCAATGGCTGTTGGGCCCTGCAGCCGTCGGTATCGGCGTTCCTGATCAAGCAAGTGGAGAATACGTACCAGCTGCGATGTGTCCCGGTTCTCGGTCAGACGCTGCGCTATCTGCGACGGCGTCAGGAGGAGCCTGTTCAGGAAGACGCTGTGGTAAGTCGCTGTTGAAGTTGGAGATTTTTCAGTTACCTGCAACTGCATTGGGGTATTTTGGCGGTCGTCATCAGTCAAGTAAAGGATCAGTAGCACAATTTTGGCATGGTGAGAATGTTCAGTGATGACTGCTCAGTCTGCTCTCACACCCATTTCCAGGTTTGGCAAACCGTAAAACTCGTCTCATACAATCAAACCAAAACGAAAGTAAACATTTTCTGAATTAAACGAAAACTAAGTAAATCTAAAGTGCCTGGTCAGATTTTGTTTATCATGATTTGAACGGCTGGCTACTCTTTTTTTGTAACTGGATAAAATTAGTTATACATAATTTTATTCGTGCTATACAGGCGTTGGTCTTTGAAAAAGAGAGGGCAAAGCTTGACTTTCACCGTAAAATCCAATCCCTTACGGAAAACGAGGAAACGGATGCTGAGCCGAAGCGGAAGCAGCCGCTGATCCTGTCGGTGGAAGTGCTGGAAGAGATCTTCCTCTCGCTGGACACCGTCGACCGCGTGCGCTGCCGCCGCGTCTGCACACTATGGGCAGACCTTCTGACGACAGCGGACATGTGCAGCGATGTGCGTGTCGCGCGGCCGCAGCACCGCTTCGAGGATGATTACTTCCTGTACGCGTGCCTGGGGAAGCACATCACGCCCGTCGCCCGCACCGTCAGTCTGCGCGAAAGCGGAGCGTATGGCAATGAAGCGTTCTTCTTAATGAAGTATCTCTTGGATAAGGACGACCTCCGCCTGCACCGTCTTATTGTGGACCGGCGCTCGTACCGGCTCAGTGAGACGGAACTGGCGCAGTGGAAACGGGGAGGTCTGTCCTCCGAGATCACTACGGGTTTGATCCATTCTCGGCTGGCCTCACTGTGTGATGTTCTGATCCTGAAAGATTTCGCCCTTACCGTGGTGGAAGACAGGTCCGGGGCGCCCCTCTTCGAGTACCGCCTTCCCCTAGCTGTCATCAGTGGAGGCAGTGTCGATGAGGCGGAGAATGGGGATTTGCTGGAGAAGCTTCTGCGCTGCGAAGGACCGTCGGCGGATGCTCAGCGGATTGCGCACTGCCTGGCCGATCGGACTGACAGCGAAGCGAGGATCCAAGAAGGGAATGAGGTAAGGCCATGGCACCATGAACAGTACTGACACTGCCAATGTGAAGACCGATCTTACTCGAACCATCCCCGTACATTTACTTAGGTATAAAGACTGTTTCTGCACGGAACCAGGTTAACGCCATTTTTTTCCAATTTTAAATTGGTTCTCCCGTTGCTTGCGCTTGATTTTATAATTTTAGAAGCTGCTGAAATGTAGTTGCTGTCAAAGTAGTTCAGGTCTCTTGAAAGATGACGTACTTATCTGTTGTAGATTGTGCATGAGTACCAAGCCAGCGATCCGCATCTGTCGGCGCATTACCGCGGTTGCCGTGGGTCCTTGGTCAATATGGCCAGTGTGGACGTCGGCCAGCTGAACAAATCCTGCCTGGCGGCCTTAACGCACCGCCTGCAGGACTGGAATCACGAAGACCAGTCCGGTCACGCGGAGCAACCCAGCCGTGAGGACGAAGAGGGGGATGAATAAAAAACTTGCCTTTGCCAGGGTCTTTGTTTTGTTTTGTTGTTAACTTGCATGTCTTCTTCTGTTGTTTTGTTGTTTGCATACAAGTATGGACAAAGTAGCCAACGGGCTGTGGATTAATTTTACGGGAATTATTTGGGAAAACTACCGTGTTACGCCCGGTGTACGCATAGCGGTCATTTGAAAGGCGATTATGTTTATGAGCTTTATTGCTAAACTTGTGTTTGTGCATGATGCGTTTTATTGAGGTGCTGCTCTGCTGTGTATGATATCGATCATTCCAGCGATCGGTCTACGATTTCCTGTTGCTTTCCATCTCTTTGTTATGCCTGCCTGTTGTGTTAGTAAAGTTGTAGTTAGGTGCTAGTACTTTCCCTTTCCGCCAGCACAGTACGAGTATATTACGCAGTCATATACGGCACTGGCGCCTTTTAACCGGCAGTAAACTTAGTTTTGTAATTAAATCGTTTTGTACATTTGTCCTTGCGAGATATACTATGACATTGCATATGTAGTACGCGATATCCCTTACTCCTTTGCGACCGTTGTCCTTACGTGGCAGCAGTTTAGTTGCTTTGGTGTCGAGTTAGAATCAAGCATTAAAGCGGTACTATGCGGTATTCCCACCTATATAAAGTACAGTACTTGCAAGCGGTTCTTTTAATATTTACTCGTTAGTATTGTATAAAAACCGAATTGTAGCGGCACTGATAATTGCAGTTGTCAAGATCTCAGATCTGACGCATGCGCCCTCTATGCACGCACTGCTGCATCTGGCATGCGCAGGCATGAAAGTTCAGCATTACGCATGCAGCTGACTGTGAGCAAACCGCACCACAAACAGGCTGCTGCTGAAGACCAGAAGTTTTCTGCTTTCCCTTCGGCTTCACTATTGTACCCAATACATCAAAAACTTTTTCTTGATTTCGTTAAATCTAGTTGTCTAGCCATCGACTGATGCCTGTATGTGACTGCGTTTGTTATTCTGTTGAGCCTGCAAAATAATTTAGTTTCCGCAAGCGCCATCAACATCTGCGGCGTCCCAGGATCCTGCTACCAAATTCAAGCGCACCGTCGGGTTTGCCGGATTCCCCGAAGATGGTCTCACCTCGTATTCGTGTGATCGATTCGACTGCGAAAACCCCGGACCGGAAATCAAGTAGCAAACGTGCTGCTCTGCATTCCCCTCGCGTCCTCCCGAAAAACGTCACACGAAGAGCCCGTGTAGCAACTTTAATGCACGACCAACCGAGCAGTGGTACGACGGTGGCGCCCATCACAACCCGGTAAGCAAAGCAGAAAATGTGCGGAGTGTTGCTCTTACCGTTGGCTTGAAATACCAGTGATCGTTGAGGTGTTAGACGGGCGGCGAAAGAGCTGCGGATTGGTAGGTTCAGGTGGCGGACAGACCGCAAGGATGGTTCTTCTGTGTTTTAGTGCCATGAAGGCTGCACCGCAGATCCCGGCTGGCCACACTGGCTCTTTAAGACTCCTCGCCGGCTCGTCGTCCAACGCTACCTCTGCTTCGGTTGTGCAAAAAGGGAGGGCGCAGGCGGCTCAACGAACGCGAAAGCCTTCCTGCCAGTTCCAAACAGCACCGTTAGTCTCCATCATCCCCCTGGCACCAGCCATGTACAAGAGCGCTGTCGCGCAGCAGCCTCAGGCAAGCACCAGCGCTTTGCAAGCTTTTTCCCCCATTAAACGGTGAGGAGAAGCGGAGTTATACTGTTTCTGTAAATTAACCAAGGGTAACGGCACTGTCGGATCTTATACCGTTGCGTGTTCTTATTATAGCGCACCAGCAGCGAAGAAGACGGTGCGTACGCGAGTCATGCCGTCGCCATCACCTCCGCCGCGGAAACGTCAGACGGCGCCATGCCGCTTCAAAGCGCCGGAGCACCGGGTCAGCCCGCCGTCGACTGCCTCGCACGCCGTCTCCGCGCCGTCCACAGCCACGAAATCCTCCCAGACCATGGACGCCGCTTCATCGGAGAAGGTTGGCCCGAAGAAGCGCCACAACGGACGGAAGCGCGCACCGCTGCAGCCACGGCAGCGCCGTCCAACTGGAATCCGCACCGCCGGCGTCCAGAAGAAGAAGAAGAAGGAGCCCGCCACCAAACAGGTACGTCCAGTGCAGTCCCATAATCGTTGCTTTGAAACGCCACCAAAAAAACCTTGTAAGCAACATTCTTAATGTAAAATGGTGGTGGGATTGCTTCTTGTAACACTTCCTGGAAATCTTCCAGTGCTTTTGTTAGTAGTAAAACATATATTACAGAATGTCGGCATCTAGTCACCGTGTTGTTGCAGTTGGCCAAATGGACCAAATCTTTGCAGAGCACGGACGACGCTGCTCCACAACGGACTGTCACCCGCCAGACGCGCCACAGCGGACGAAAACGGGCGTCCCTGCAGCCACGCGAGCGCCGTCCAACGGGAATCCGCGCTGCCGCCGTCCAGAAGAAGAAGAAGGAGGAGGCCGCCACCAAACAGGTACGTGCCGCACACTCGCGTAATCGTTGCTTTAAAATGCCACCGAAAACGATCTAAACAGTATTATTAATGTGAAATGGTGATGTGGTTGCGTGTTGTAAGACTTCCTGGGAATCGTCCAGTGCTTCTGTTGGTAGTTGTCCTGTAGAAACGTCGCCATTTGCAGGCATATATTACAGAGTGGCTGTGTCTAATTACCGTGTTGTTGCAGTTGGAAAAATGGACTAACGGCCGCTAAGAACCAGCGGAAAACCAAGAAGGGTGGACGGTTCTACTTTTGTCCTTACTGCCGGGACTGGGATACGCAGTTTTGGCAGAAAGATTACGCGGAGACGCACATGCTGGGTGACCCGACATCTGGACAAGAGCCCTGCAGAGCCTGGCTGATGAATCCGCGCTACCAGAATACCTACTTGTTCGGCGAGTTGCCCGATCAGTTTCCAGCGTACCGTTTCTTCGACAAGGAGGGCAATTTTCAGTACGAGGGAACACAGTTTTGGAGTTTGGGGAGCTTCAAAGCGGGCGTCACCCAGACACACTACTTTAATGCCTGGACGCGCGTCAGTATGCCGCCGCCGAGTGACGACCCGGATTGGATGTACGACGGGTGGCAGTATTTGGACGGATCGCAGCCGCCAGCGGACGGCACCGCTCACGTCGTCGCTCCGGCCTACAGGACAGCGCAGGCTGGTGTGGATGCGTTCTACGTTCGGGCGACCACTGCCTGGCTGCTGCACAACTTCCCGAACGAGTATCATCCGGTGGTGGTGAACCAACCTGCCCCGGTGCATCATCCGGAGGTGCTGAACCAACCCGCCCAGGAGGAAGTGGAACATGCGTTGGAGGAGGAGGAGGATTCGGACGATGACTTGTCAGATGAGTCTGACGATTCGGATCAGCAGTCTGCGGGCGAATCTGACGATGACACTGGCGACGAAGGGGACTCTGCACCCCCGTCCAGCCCACCGCCCACAGGAGCGGTCGCGGAATACGTTCAGGAGGATGCCGACTCATCCGAAGAGCAACGTGCGGAGTTCTCGGGTGCCCGAAATCTCAACGGTTCCATAGAGCATTTCCGGGCCAACGCCATTTCCGACGCGACGATCCCCGCTGCGCGAAAGAAGGCAGCACGCGCTGCTGCTCCAGTCGAAACCATTGCGGCACCACGACGCCGGGTTCCAGGAAAGGTGTCCACCACACTGCAGTCTGATCCCAGCATTAAGGCCAGCGCTGCCGGCCACGGTGAAAAGCAGCGTGAACTGGCTGGTCAAGCGGAATCGCGAGGTGAGATGCGGCTTGTAGCACTCGTTTACAGAATAGTCGGGCAGTCTTCAGTGTTTGTGCAGCTCATGGCAATGAGCCTGAAATTTCCATAGAATTCGTGCGCAGCAATGATGCCGCGCAACCGAGCTGCTCTTCCGCGAAGGGATATTTGATTAGCATAACCGACACGGCCGCAGAAGCCCGGACCGCTTTTAACGCTTCCTTCCGCGGTCAGAAAGCAGCTCGTTTTCGTTCACAGGTAGTACAATTGGCATCGTATCTGAACATTGAACAGAATTTGTGCAATCATGCGGAATGTCTGCAGACGGGACGTTTTGCGCATCCAGCGGACGCGTTGTACACCGGCCTGCCCCCGTCGGAAGCGGCCTTCACGCCCCGTCCAGCCCACGACGGCAGCGGCCAGCAGGCGACCGTCAGCTCCTCCCTGGTCGAGAGAATCCCAGTAGCGCCCGCTACGGACAGCGGCGTTCATGGAGGCAGTGTCTGTTTGTGCGGAGAGGGAGCGGTGGCCGGCAAATCACACGGGAAGCGTCGTGGCGGTAATGTGCCGGGACTGGAAAGCAGCAGTGTCGACGTTCGTTCGGCGGATGGGAAGGCGGGCGATGGGGGTGTGGAGGATGAGTTCGGCGATGTGTGGTTTGATGCGCGTGGTTGATTGTGGATTTCGCAGTGGCGTTTTCGCTAGATGTCCTTAGTATGATTTAATTTCCTACATTTTTTTTTGTATGTTTATTGGAATAGTATAACACAAAATGTTAACGGGATTCTTAACTTTTCATGTTTATTTTAGCCTGTTTGTATGATATGAGTACAGCTGCAGCGCTTTTGCGAATGGATTGTGCACATAACATGTGTAGATAATGTGAAAGAACGTAAAACCGGAACCAGCACAATAAATAAAGTGTGTGGAATAGGCAATGTGTTAACGGTAATTCGTTTTGCAAAGAGCACAGGCTTTTGAAGACGGCGTTCTGGAACGGGAAATTAGTATGTTAACGGCTTTTCCGGCGGCAGAGCCAAAGGCGACGGTAAAGTTGAAAAAGGCAAACTGAAACGGCAAAAGCGAAGTGCGTCGGCCCATATTTACAGTACATAAAAAGGGTTCGAAAGTTCAAGTTAATAACTTGACTTTCCTCCAAGTTTTTTCGATTAACTCAAGTCTGATACGCTGACTCCGCCAATTACTTATTTGGCAACGCTAGTAATACGGTTGAGCGAACGGTACTGCGAACTGCAAAGTGACTGCAAATCTAGAGTTACGGATCCTTCCAATATTACGGATCCTTCTAAACTTTGTGCAGAGCAAAAAGACAGTAATCCTCGCCGTCTCACTCCAGTCCGACTGCTGCCGTTACTGTACTGTCTGTACATCGACCGTATTCCGTATGTTATAACTCTGCACTGCTGAAGCTGATGCTTCGAAAAATGGTTCTGCTCTGTAGTGTCATCCACTGGCAGTCCGAGCAGTTCGCTACGCTACTGCACTGTCAACACTGCAAAAAGTTTCTAACCGTTATGGCGTAGTACAGCGCCCTGAGCATTTCGGGCGCGTCGTTGTGACCTTTGCTCTCGAAGTGCTACAGTATTATTTAAGGAAATTTCTGCAAATAGCAACTAACGCAAGTATTCCATCCCTCCAGAAATTAGGTTTTTCTGAATTCCTACACGTGGAATTGGCCTTCGGTAAAGGCCTACAAGGTTAGGATTTTTTCGACTCCTTATGACGTTCTGTTCCGACTAAGGTTTTTTTCGTCGACTTGAGTAAGCACTTTTCTGTCTCGGTTCGAACCATTTAAACGTCACTGCGAGCAGAGAATCTAACAGTTCTTATCTGCCAACGTAGTATTTCCATAATATGGAAAGGTCAAAGGCAAGAAGCACAGATTTGCGCACCACGGGCTTATTAGCTGAGGTTTGCTTTATTTTGGCCCCATATTGTATGTATACAAGTACTAGTAAAACAACTAATACAAGTAGTCGAGTTAATTGCGATAGATATAAACCAACGAGGCTTTAGCCGGCCGAACAGCCACATAAGTAATCTAAAATCTAACACTAACAGGAAGGTGCTTCACCTCACCACAGGTTGGGCCATCCAGTCTCTGCTCAAACCCCGAGGACGGGGGCCTTATGCGCACTCTGTATAGCGAATGCCACTGCGCGCTCTGTACAGTATACGCCACCAGCGAATGCTGCTGCCCTACTTCAAAGCCGTTCGGGCGTTTCTTCAAACAGCCCCGCGCACCTAAGTCAGCCACTTCGTGAACGATAAACTCAACATAGACGCCGTGAGCGGCGGCAACTACAGAGTACGTGCACGAAGCGGAGACGGCCAGCTGGGACTGGATGCGGAGGATGTTGCGCGGTGGAGTGCAAGTTTTATTTCGTCATGCCGAATTCAAAATCTCTGCATCAAAATTTTTCACTGACGTAACAGTCAACGTCGGACCAATGTCGTCCGTGTGTTGGCGTGTAACGACCCAGCGCCGCGTGACGCTCCCGTGGCGGAGCCATTTATCGACTGCTTCTGGAGCATGACCGAGCAGATAAGATTTCCAGTGAATTTTCCACAACAACCAATTACATTAACGAGAATTCAATGCCGACGTGCTCGGGTGCCGTTAATTTATCAACATGTACTCGCATCGATTGTCTCTGCCGCTTTCGCTCTTGGCATCTGCAATTGTCAGTGCCGCTAAAAGCCACTTTTTAAACTACTTCAGCAAATTAAAATAACCGCATCGAATTACCAAACGATTTAACTACAGAAACTAACTTTATTACCGGACTGGAGAAGTTCCAAATCATACCCTAAACTCATCCACAACAGTCAACATTCTGGCGATTCTGCCTACTGTTTTTATATATAGACAAGTAAGTAAGACATCAAACAGCAGAGGGTAAGAAACCTAACAATAAATGAAACAGAAACCTTCACAAATTCAAGTTTTTACTCCTGCTCCTCCTTTCCCTCTTTTTCTTCCTCCTCCTCGTCTTCTTCCTCTTCTTCCTCTTCCTCCTCCTCCACCTCGTCATCGTCGTCGTCGTTTTCTTCTGCTTCTTCTTCTTCTTCCTCCTCCTCGGACTCGTTGTCGCTGGGTTGTTCAGCGTGACCGGACTGGTCTTCGTCATCCCAGTCCCGCATGCAGTGCGCCAAGGCCGCCAGGCAGAATTTGTTCAGCTTCCCGACGTCCACACTGGCCATGCTGTACAGCGACCACCGGCGTCCGCGGTAATGCGCCGAGGGACGCGGATCGCTGGCTTGGTACACCCGCAGAATCTGCAATAACAAGTTCTACTGTAATTACTATCTCCTAGCAAGCTTGAAGCTGTAATGAACATGTTCAAATTCTGCCTGTAGGAAGAACATTTTCTACACTCCACAAAATTTCAGTAATATCTGAAAAGCAATTCCAAAAATCAAAGGAAACAATTGGAAACTGGACAAAGAGTGACGGAAACCTGGTTGCGTGCAAAAGTGATCTTTAAAGCGAAGTGCTTTAGACTTCAGTACATATTGTACACGGTGGCATGCCGTTTAAATACCTTGTTCACTTGCCGGGCCTTCTCTTCGCTGTCAATCCGTTCGGCCAGGCAGTAGGCAATCCGCTGCATATCCAGCGGCGGCCCCTCGCAGCGCAGATGCTCCTCCAACAGGTCCAGATTCTTCGCCTCATCCACCTGTCCACCCGTGAAGACAACCAGGGGAATGCGGCACTGGAAGAGGGCCTCACTGGATCGCTTCTCCACCACGGCAAATGCAAAATCCTTCAAAATCAACCGATCACAAGATGCCGCCAGCTTGGAATCGATCAACCCCGCGGTGATCTCGGAGGACAGCGCTCCCAGTTTGTAGCGCGCCACTCCATTCCCCGAGCCGGAAGGAGCGGCGGTCCACGATGAAACGGTGGAGACGCGGGATGTCGACAGAGCGCAGGAGATGCGTGATTATGAAGAACACTTCATCGTCGTACGTTCCGCTTTCGCGAAGACTGACCGTGCGCGTGGCGGGTGTAATGTGCTTGGCCAGGCAGGCGTACATGAAGTAGTGGTCCCAGAAGCGGTGCTGCGGTCGCGCGACACGCACCTCGCGGCACATATCCGGCGCCGTGAGAATGTCTGCCCACTTTTTACAGGTGCGCTGGCAGCGGACGCGGTCGAAAGTGTCCAGCGAACGAAAGACCTCCTTCAGCACTTCCAAAGGCAACGCCAAACCGCCTTCAACGCCACTCAACGGCTTCTTCCGCTTCCGCTCTTCTGTTTTCTTCAAGGCGGCGATTTTACGGTGAAAGTCATGATTTGCCCGCTCTTCTTCAAAGAACTTTGCCTACGACACAAACACACTTACAGAGTACAGTCCTAACCAGCCAATTAAATTAATTTTTTGTCAATTCATAAAGTTCCACAATAAAGCTTTTTTTGCAGCGTACAAGGAGTATCAGACAGCATTAGCAATTAACACTTTTCAGCATGGAAAATGCGAAACAACCACTGACAAGTGACTTACTACAGTATCACCCGGCAGGATCCAGTCTTCGCGGCGTCGCAGAACCCGCAGCGTCTGACTGAGAACGGTAACAACGCGCAGCTGGCGGCGGCTCTCAAGTTGTCTGATCAGGAAGGCCGACACCGACGGCTCCAGAGTCCAGTAGCCGCTGGGCACACTGCACGTCTCCATGACGAAATGGCCCGCTGCAAGAAGCCCGGACCGTGCTGCTTCTTCGCAGGCGTCGCGAATCTGCAGCCAGGGAAGCAGTTCGCGACGCCACTGCCCGTCCACCATCACCTCCACCACCGCCATCTCATCCATGTCATCGAACGCGGGAATCAGCATCTTTCCGGAGTACCACGACCAGGGACGCTGCGGTCCGTCGTGCAGCAGCACCTCCACAGCCTCTCCCTCGCTTGCCTGGCTCCATCGAATGCTGTAGGAGTCCCAGACCTTCCCGTACTCCACTGACACCGCCTACTGTGTGGGGCATCCGAAATCCACTACCAGACGCGGGGGAACGTTCGTGTTCTCTTCCAGGCTGATGACGTAGCCGTGCTGCAGTCGGCCGTCAATCTCCACATCCACCGCGTTCCAGTCGTGCAGCGTTCGTCCAGTGTTCTGGTACAAGTGCATTCTTTGTTGCGCTGTCTAAGAGAGGCGAAGAATGCACGCTGGATGGCAAAGATTTATTCCGTATGAAACGGCGATAATAAAAGTTTCCAAATAGTTTGAAAAAGATGAAACAGTACGCTACAATTGTCTACCGTACTAGTATGTACGTGCTGCAGCGCTGTTGCAAGGCGCGCATGCGCGTTGAGCCTCTATGCAGTATGCACGCAGTGCTGCATGCCCAGACATGAAAGTTCAGCATTAAGGCGCAATTCAAGTATTATGTAACGCAGTTTTTCATGATTTTGACCACTCCCTAGTCCCTACCCTTGTAACAGCAGGATAACAAAATTTTCAATCCCCCTGCCAATACGCGTAATGGAAAGCCCGACCAGCCCTCTATAAAATTGCAATTCAAATATATTATTTATTTTCTCTTTTTATGGGGTGTCGATCCCCACGTAACAAAAATTTTTGGAACCCCCTACCCCATGTAACAGCGTAACAAAAAGCCAACCCCACCCCTACCCCTCGAGCGTTACGTAATCCTTGAATGCCCCCTTCCGCATTTACGCATGCAGCCGAGCAACCGTTTTAGTTTAGTTTAGTTTAGTTTATTCAAGAGCAGACAAACCCTCAGGCACTCGCTAGTCTGGTCAGATAATAATAAGAATAACAAATAAAAAAAGCAACATTCAGATGGCAGAACAGTCGAGGTAACATAATATTACAGAAGGCTATTTGAACGTAAAGTAGCCAGATAAAGTTCAATAGAACCACACCCGAACACCTCTTCCCCACGTACTTTTTTAGTCTTACCATCAACAATTTTAGTAAACATTTTCCCCGTTATTTTATCATACAACTGCTTGAGCCTCATCTTCAGGGTTGTCTTCCCGATGCACAGCCGCGTGGTGGCATCAATCCGCTCTGTTCGGCGAAGTTCGTACCTCGCACTCGTTTCCTTGAATGGCAGCAGGTTGATCATGTAGGACGGCAAATTAAAACTGCTCCGGTTACGTATCTTGTACAGCCATACCGCTTCCTTTCGCCGCCATCGGTCGGTCGCTGGTGTGATGCCCAGCTGCTCGTACAGTTGCGGTGTTATCCGACAACTGCCGCCGGTGATGGTCCGCAAGGCTGCGTCTTGCCGTTTCTTCAGCTCCTTCTGCTCTCCCGAAGACGCCGTTGACCAAGCCAGTGCACAGTAATCTATGTACGGCTCGACGAAGGCGTGGTGAAGGGTGGCTCGCTGAGGGATGCTGAGACCGGTTCTGACTCGCTTGATCTTCTGTATACCGAAATTAATGTTTCGTTTCACTTTTTGATACTGCTTGTCCCATTTCAGGTGCTGGTCCACTTCGACCCCAAGGTATGTTGCATGTTGTTTTACTGTCAGGACTTGGCCGTTCAAAATTACTGGCGGATTCGCTTCCGTCTTGTTTTTCCTCTCTGAAAAGATAAACATGCCCACACACTTTTTCACATTCAGCACCAGACCGTTGGTTTTAAACCAGGCGGCTGCCTTCTCTAATGCTGTGTTCAGCTTATCCGCGGCTGCTGCTTTCGTCCTACCACGACAGTACATGATAGTGTCATCCGCAAAAGCTTCGATCTCACAGTCGGTGATCTGCAACAGGTCATTTAGGTATATGAGAAACAGTATCGGGCCGAGCACAGTGCCCTGCGGGACACCGGACACGAACGGCAGCCAGGTGGAAAATTTCTTGCCAGTCTTCACGCGCTGTTGGCGCCCCGTAAGATAGGAATAAAACCATGCAAGGGCGGTCTCACCGATACCAATTTGCTTTAATTTTTGCAGTAGCCGCTCGTGATTGACAGAGTCAAATGCTTTCTTCAGATCGAGCATGGCAACTGCTGTAACATCACCTTCATCCATTGCGTACTTCCAGGCTTCAGTGACTTTAACCAATAGAGTTTCGCACGAATGCCCCTTGCGGAAGCCGGACTGCCGCTGCGACAGCAGGCTGTGCGCTTGCAGGAAGGCGGTCAGCTGGATTTGCACACAGCGCTCGAACACTTTTGAAATGTTGCATAGTAACGATATGGGCCGAAAATCGTCGAGGCTGTGTGTGTTGTGGACTTTCGGTAAGGGACATATTTCGGCCATTTTGAACAACGATGGAAATACGCCACTGCGCAGTGAGTTATTAACCATGCTTGTTAACGGTGGCACCAAAATCGAAGCAACAGCTCCCAGTAGTCTTGATGGTATTCCAAATGGCCCCGGTGCTTTCTTTTTTGCTCTGATGTCCTGCACGATGGACATAACAACCGCTTCTGACACGTCGGCAAATCTGCAAAACAAACTGTTATCTGAATCACCCCCAGCGGGGGGTGCTGGTCTGACGTGAGAAATCCCATGTTGGCCCATGGAGACAAAATGTTGGTTCAACGAATTCAGATCCACTGCGCATTCTCCGTGAGCTTTTGTTTTCCGCAACATTCTTCCCATTTCTTTCCACAGCAACGTTGTTTTCTGCCGATTTTCATGAAAGTATCGCTGTTTTGCAGTGCCAATTTGATTACGTACTGTGGCTCGTAGGCTGCAGTATTCCTGATGTAGGGCGGGATATTCGTTCGTGTCTCTTGCTGCACATTTCTGTTTGTAGACTTTATTCTTTTTTCGAATATTCACGCGGATTTCTTCAGTCATCCAGGGGGCCTCTTTCTGTTTTACACGCTTCGTACGGGTAGGATAACACTGATCAACTATGTCATAGACGCCCTTCACGAAACTGCTCACCTGGGCGTCAACATCACCCCCACTGCCCTGGAACTCATCACGCATTGTAAAGCATTTCACTTTCGCTGCACTGTACATCAAACTGCACCGTACATCAAACAGGCTCGTAATCAACTCAGCGTAGCCATTGTCCATTGTTTCTTTCTTCCTGAAGAAAAAGTGACATTCTTGAATTTATTTCCTATCAGTACAAGCTAGTCATTACGGAACTCATCTATCCCTGTGGACCACTCGATTATTATGAACGCGGTTCATTTGCTGCCTCGAACGAAGTTCAGACTTCAGACCAGGCAGACAGAAATGCACCTTGACAAAGACACTGGACGCTCGGTGTACGCATGGAACGCCGTGGACGTTGAGATGCAGGGCGGGCTGCAGCACGGCCACGTAATCGGTCTGGAAGAGAACGACAACGGTCCCGCGCGTCTGCTGGTTGATTTCGGCTGCCCCACACAGCCGGCGGTGCTGGTTGCTTACGGGGCGATCTGGGACTGTTCCTCCCGGCGATTCAGTTACCCAATTAAGGGAGCTGTTGTGGAGGCGCTGCTGCATGACGGCCCGCACTGGAAATGGTACCCGGGGAGAATCCTCATCCCCCGTTTCGCCGACCTAGAGGAGATGGTGCTGGTGGAAGTGCTGGTGGACGGGCAGCGGCGTCGCGAACTGCTGCCCGAGGTACAGATTCGCGCCGCCTGGGGAGAAGCAGCCCGACCAGGACAGATCGAAGCGGGCCACGGCCCACTTCGTCCTGCAAACGTGCAGCGTGCCCGACGGCTACTGGATTCTGGAGCGGTCGGCCGCGGCTTGGCTGCTGCGACAGGTGGAGGTGAACTATCTGATGCGTTTTATCCAGGTTGTCAGTCAGACGATGCTCTATCTGCGCCGCCGCCAGGATATGACATGGGCAGGTGAAAATATGGTGGTAAGTCGTGACTCGTGATGGAAGATTGTACAACGCCTCACAAGTCACAACCGTAACATTTCATCAACTTCAGTCATCAGTACTTACATTTTACAAGTGTTTCTGACCGAAGCATTTACAGCCGGAACGTTGCATTCGATAGTTGTGGTAGATTTAAGACGGAGCAGAAACGGCATAACCATAATAACCATAACCAGCAGAAATGGCATAACCATAATCATTTTAGGTAGGTACAGTATATGCCTGTGAGCCATGGCTGTACTCACGTCCACCCTCACGCCTGTGGCGTTATGCGGATGACGTGTCAGTGTTGTGTCTCCTCTGATTGGTTGTATGTGCCTTGTGTGGGCGCGCCTATGTGCGCTGCGAAGAGCATTGATTTAGCTCTTCGCTTGGCAGATTTGCCAGTGGTGTTCAGTCAGTGTTGATGTGAGTTGGATTTCACTCAATAAAGTGTACTTATGCTAGTGGATGCCGTGCGTTGCGCATTTATCCAGATTTCGTAGCATATTACATTACGCAGGATCCTGTCAGTGGGGATCACTGTCCTGGACTCATTCTGAGTACCACGTTATATGGTAGCAGAGCCCGTAATCTGCGGTGCTCGAGTTTAATCTGTTGGCGAACGGCCATATTAATCTGTTGGCGAACGGCCATATTGATCTGTTTGGCGAACGGCCACGTGGAATCTGGATCGATCGGTATTGATCGACTGCACCAGTAAGGCACTGGTTTTCCTCATCTGACAGCAAGGCGCATCTCATCGGATTGCCAGCAGGAGCGGCAACACTGAGTCAAGTATCTCCTGTTTAGAACTTGTCTCGTGTTTATCGAGTCAGACGGCAGCTGGTCGCGGTGCAGGTCTCTCCTGTGGAGAACTTGTACTGTTCCCACTGCTAAGCAGCGAGATCCTCTGTAGAGGACAAGGCTGCTGGGCACAGGCGCCGAGAAGCCACAAGCTGGCAGCACCGAAGGAGGTGCCAAGGAGATCAGTTAACGCGCTCCACCAAAATAGGCTGTAGAGCGACCTGCTGGTAGGCCTGACAAGCCCAGCAGAAGGCAGACTAGGTCGGACTAGGAAGGCGCCAAAACCGTGCGGAATACGGCTGCGCGGGATCGGATCGTGGAGAAGAAAAACGCGATCATCTGGATCATTTTGGCGGAAATCGGATCGGTAAACAGGTAAAATACCGTTATTAATTATCGGATTGGATAGCGCGTAAAAAGCGCAAATTTCATTGGTCTGTACTGAGCTGAGCTAGACGGAGGCGGAACTTTTGCACTCGGCGCGCAAGTCTGGCCGTCGATCTGTGACGTCACGTAGGTCAGAAAATTTAGCGGGTTCACGTGATTGGTCAGTTATACGAGCTGTGATTGGTCGAAATTTTTACCGGTAAAACTGAGCTAAATGATCTCGTACCGATGTAATAATTAGCGTAAACGAACTTTCCTCATCGTTATTGATCTGATACGAGCTAGTGGGAGCCGATTCTGACCGAAATAAATTGAGTGAAAAGTTGACCAGTTGGACCTGAGATCGATCTCTGACTTTGAGCTGAGCTGATAACGACCTCCATAGATGAGTTGAGATGATCTAATTTCATCTAATATACGAACTTTTTCATCGAAATCGATTTATTCTGAGCTATGACGAGCTGATTCTAATTGAAACGAGCTGAGTAACAGATGATCTGAGCTGAGCTGAGATCGATTAGCTGATCTCAAAACGAACTCGAAACGAACTTTAGCAGCTCAGTTGACATCCGTAGCTGATTATCAGCACCTGCGAAGCGAGCTTATTGAACTTTTTACTCTAGAAGTGATCTTCCAAAACGAACTCGAGCTCATCTAACGAGCTCAAAAGTGATCTATAGGGATCATAACGATCGTATAATAACGTGTGTGTGAGTAAAACCGACAGGTGCGTCCAGTTATCCGATCAACAATGGACAAGGAGATCATCGAACCGACATCTAACAGCAGTCAGGGGAGCCGAGGCTCTCACGGATCTCAGCAAGGAGCACCTAATCCGTATAAAAAGGATCTGAAACCATACACACGTCCAGTCGCACATGAGCGGAGCACCCGGGCACCTAAAGCCTTTGAGAGGAAGGACTCTCGAGGCTCGGATGCGACCTACCAAAAGGCACTCGAAGCAGTGTCAGGTCATGAGAGCTCCAGCGATGACCGGAAACGATCTCCCGCGTCTGCGGCGGGAAGCAACGAGGTGAACCAGCAGGTCACCAACGAAGGAACGAGCTCACAACGAGCAAAGGAGATGGATGTGACATCACAAAAGGATGTCAGGATCAGCCCCGTCATATCGGAGCAGGTCAAAGATGCTGATCTGACTAAACCGGACCTCACTGAACAGTCAAATGATGAAAAACTTGATGAGCTGAAGTTGGGCGATGTCTCACTTGACGATGATGTCACAGTAGAAGACCTGTTTGAGAGCCCCATGCAGTTTGATGAGATGATGCGAAACCAGAAGCTTAACAATGAAGAGTCATACCTCACCGACGACGACGTGACAATGAACATGTCATTCAGGACGGCAATGAAGGAAGCCGATCGAGCTGAGGGAATAATATCGTTTAAAGATATACCGGAACACCTCATCGAACGAAGTCAGACAGGGAAGATCATTAATGTCAGATCCTCATCCCCAAACAGCCCCACCTCCAATCTGAAAAAACAGATCAGGGAATTGCAGACCTCACTGGAGGAAAAGGATTGTCAGATGCTTCAGAAGAAGCAGGAGTATCAGAACAGGATCAATTCATTGGAAGCTCACGTATACGAAATGGAGCAACAACAGAGCGTCTTTGAAAACATGACAGCTGAATGGAAGATCAGATACGAACAACAAAAAGAGATTGCCGAAGAAGCCCAGAAGGTGGCTGACGACAAAGAAGTGGAGAAGTTCATCGCAGTTGATGAGCTCAACGAAAGCATGTCCGAAGAGTCAGCTGAGAGATCACGTCACTTAGCCGAACTGAAAGATCAGTGTGATGAGCTTCGCAAGAAGGCGAACGAAGCTGAAGCGAAGCGCAACGAATACGCGACCAAGTTAGCTGAAGCCACACAACGATTGGCCACAATGACAACGGACATGCTCAAGCTCAGAAACGATCTGAAGCTGAAGGAGGAGAACATTGGCATCCTCCAAAAGGAATCGCAGGCTCATCAGAAACGAGCTGATGAGGCACTCCAGGTGGCGAAGGAGCTCACCGAGTTGGGAGCGACCGAAGGTGAACGACTTAAGGCAGGAATTAAAGAAGTTAACGAAGAAAACATGAATCTAACGGAATAAATTAAGAAGCTAACAGAGGAGAGTCAAAAGTGGCAGGCTCAAGCTTACCGGCTGGACACAATGGTCACAGCTCTCGAGATAGCCGACAAGGAAAACCAACGAAATGTCCATGAGCAGCTCGAGGAAAACATCAAGCTCAACACGGAGTTAACTGCGATGGCAACAACAGCAATGCTCAGAGAAGATGAGGCCACGGAAGTAAAAAACCAGCTGATATCGGCGGGGCAGGCATACACCGAGCTGGAGCAGCAGGTGAATCAGCTCGCCGAACGGATGATCATACTAAGAGATGAAACACATAAAGAGATGGATAATAGAACCATCAAACTTCAGAATGAGATGCTGAAGATTAAACAGGACAATGACCGGCTGAGGAAAGAGAGAGGTGAGCTCAACTTGAAGAGCAGACGCCTCGAGGATGAGAATAAAGCTCTCCAGACGGCGAATAAACATAAGGATGAACAGCTCCTTCAGTTCGGTACGAAAAAGGATACCAAAGAATCCCCTCCACCCAGTTACAGTAAGGCACAAGGAACTGGTGGGAGCGCTCACTTTGAGATGCCGCTGCGAACGGGTGGCGGCAGAGGTGATTTTAAAACGGAAAAAGATGATGAAGTATCTGATAAACGGAACCCGTCGAGCAGTCACCAGCCACATATGAGCTCAGGTGACCCGTCGCAACCTCATCCCATCGAAACAGCAGTTAAAGATGACGCAAATCGGGACCTACGTTCCCCTCGGCATGAACACGATGGAAGATATTTCAGAGAATATCGAAATGAACGTAATCAACGAGAAGAACGAAATGAAGATCGTGTCCAAAGGGAATTCAACAGAGCCATTAAAAATATGGGCCGAAAAACAGACCTTGCCACTTTCGACGGTAACCGAGATGCTGTGAATGGATGGATTCGCATCGTGAAAGAGACACAGCGCACGTATGATCTGACCGATGAGCAGATCATGATCGACATAGCCAGCGCTGTAAGGGGACCAGCCAAGATCTGGTTCGACAGTGAAAGGGACATTGAAGAAGCGGAAGAAGGAGTCTACACGGTTACCGAATGGCTCAATAAATTCAAAGATGAGTACGGTGATCGAAACGAGGAAGTCCTCGGTTACGTGAAGCCATGGCCAGGAAGTTTAAACCGGAAAAGACACCTGAACAATTTTATCAAGCGATCATGAAATTCAAAGGCGAAGAAGGCGATCACGGAACTCCAAGCAGTCGCATTCCTTATAGATGGATGCAGAGTTGATAATAACCTCTATAACGCGCTGAAAACGAAAGGATTCAAGACGTCAACCGAGATAAAGGACTTCTTCAGATCATGGGCAGCTGGAGAAGATAAATATAAGGTGGTCGAACGCCAGCGAAATCAACCGGAGATCGTAACTATCCGTTCCGGCCAAGTTGAGATGGCACCGAGACAGTTCGCAGCTGCACCAGCTCAACAGATTGAATATCGGCCGAGATCACCAGCCCCAGTCCAAAGTCAAGTGACTTTCATCGATAGTCAGACCGGACAACCGATTACATACGCCATGGTAGCCGCGATACAAGCGCAGGCTAAGGCACGGCCAGTGGCTCCGGCTAACATGATGCCGAATCCCCTGAATGTAGGGGTGCCACATCAACAAGGAAGGCCCAACAATGGAAATCAATATGGAAACGGAAATGCCAACTGGAATAACGGCCAGGGAAATGGCAACTTCAACCAGAACCGAAACCAGGGGAACTACCAGCAGAATCGCGGCAACTATCAGCCACAGCAGGGTTCCCGAACTGAATGGAAATTCGGCCAAATCGATGGATGGGTGACCCAGGGCGTGCAGCTGTGCCAGAATTGTGGATTTGGCAACCACGACGCACAGAACTGCATGTTTGCCAACATGCCACCGAACCGAAACCCGAATCTGTTCGCCACCCAAGAGTGGGAACGACTCCGCACCCAGGGCGGCTGGCGACAGGCGGTAGCGAACGGCTACGACCTGGTTGCACGGTGGCGGGAGTTTAAACAGCAGAACGGAGGTGGCCAAGGAGGTGGCCAGGGTGGCGGTTATAACGGCGGCGGCAGAGGAGGCTTCCGCGGGCGAGGTCGCGGCAACGGACGCGGCAACCACGCCAACCGGAACTGGCGCGCCAACAATGGGGGTGGCGGCGACCAGAATAACGTCGGCGGCGCGAACGGCGCTGGCCAGGGCAGCAAAACGAGCAAGCCCGCAGCAGCAAATGAACCAGGGAAACGGCCAAGATCAGTAGGCGCCGGTGAGCCTACTGATCCTCCCAGACGAAACCACCGGATAAAGGAGGAACGCAGAATCGGACTGCGAACGAGATGGCTCAAAGATGCCATCACAAGTGGGCAAGGACCACAGCCGCAGAATCGGACTGCAGGCAGAACGGCTTATAAGATGCCGTCACAGCAGCTGAAGGAGATGGCTCAAAGATGCCATCACAAGTGGGCAAAGCCGCAGAATCGGACTGCAGATGACATGGCTCATAAGATGCCATCACAAGTGCAGGACATGGACAGACTGCAGGCGATAGGCAATAGTACCATCAGCTGAAGTGAGTCACCGCAGAATCGGACTGCAGGTGAGATGGCTCAAAAGATGCCATCACAAGTGGGCAAAGGACCACTGCCGCAGAATGGTACTGCGAGCAACCAGGTGAACAATAAGGCGAGATCACCTTACTGCAGCGAAGAGAAGCTGAAAGAACGACGTGCTCAACGTAACGAGATCATCCGAAAAGCGAACCTTAAAAAGAAGATGGAAGAAAAGGAAACGGATGATCAGCACGCCAGATTCCGAGAGTTCCTGCGTAACCAAGGAAAAGACATTCCACCACCTCCCACACCAG